TTCTTTAGTACCTATTCATATGATTTATAGTTTGTCTTCAAGATCCTTGCAGTATCATTTATATTTTCTCTGGACATATTCTTATTTAAAGAATCGACCAATTCAACCTAGGCTCCACGCTAAAGATACAAACCTAAAAGAGTAGGCTTACTTATTATATCATTCTGCCATCACACATCTCCATAATAACAATATATTAACAAGCATGTCATGAGTGGCTATGTGATCGTGTTTTGGTTGAATTTAGAAGAAGAGATTGTTGATTCCCGTTGTGTCTGCTATCAAAGAACTCCATTTGCAAGGTAACAAATTTTGGAATATTGTGGTTAGTAAATGAGTATATGATTCCAAATTTCCAATCGTTATGCACTACTGGCTTTGTTTGTTTTTGAGAGTGAAACTAAGATGACAATGTTCAAGTTCTCAAGGAGAAAGAAGCTTTCGATTAATCATGTTGTTTATGGATGTTTATCTTTAATGTTGAACAATTTGTATGGTTAATTTGTGGCTTGCTTGTATGTTCTAGATTGGTTTAATGCCATATTTGGCCACTGTGATTACTAAATTGTGTCACGTTTAGTCACTAGAAAAAGTTAATATAAAATTTGGTCACTCTAATTACTAAAACAGGTCATATTTAGTCACTCCGTTAATCTCTGCCCAACTCCGTTAATGGAGTTCGTTATGTGCTGACGTGGCTAACATGAGAGCCTAGTCAGCGCCGTTTTGACCAGAAAAATGGTCAAACCCGACCCGCCATGTCACTAAACCCGCCATGTCATACACCCAACCCAAACTATTGACCCATCCCGACCCAAAACCAAATCCTAGCCCACCTAACAAAACAAAATTGGAAAATCCAATGGGTTAGTGGCCAGTTTCAGACCAAAATCTTTCTTCTTCCTCGCAGAGCTCTGCTCCTTCCTCTAGATTCAGCCATTTTCGATCGAACTCCAAGGAGAGATGAAGAGCTCCACGCTACCCCTTGACCCCCTTGTCCCGGATCCTCCTTTGAAGACGCATTGTTTTCTTCTTCTTCGTCAGGCGCCGCCGTCAGTTTCCTCCATTGTAGTAGACAATGAACCCTCAAATCCACCTTCGTCGCGGCGCGCGTCAGCTTCCCCCATCCGCGCCGGCAGCAGTAGACGAAACTCTAAATCGATTCCCCCATTGCGGCTCGTCGTCATCATAAGACCTCAAGTCAGACAGTTTAGGCGTCAATGGATGATGCTGAAGCGGCGACGACGACTCCTGCTTTACGGCTCTGGGCGAAGATTCAACCATTGCAGCCCTCTTCACCTCAAATTTTTGGCTTGACATTGTTATTGGCGGCGTCAGGATGGAGATTCTTGTGGATAGCGATGGAGATTCCACCATTACAACCCTCTTCTCCTTAATTCCATATCCTGGTCGCAAGAATTTCACCCAAATCAAAAGGAGAAAAATGAAGGGGCTTACTTTGAACTTGAAACTGTCATTGAATAGAGATAAACTACGAGGATATTGAGGAGAGGGAGGATTGGAGCCGTGCTTGGGCTTCGGGCTAGCTGTAGTGAGCTTCGTCGTGATGGCCCTGGAGTATTGAGTGTGGTTCTGCAATGGAGGGCAGGGTTGTCTTCTGCTGCTGCGGCTGTGGTACTAGTACCAAAATTGGAGGAAGAAGATGTAGACACCGCAAGGCTGGGCTTGAGAAGGAGCGGGACTTGAGGCGGGGAGTGGTCGGGTTGTTTCCGGCCGATGTGATCACCAGAGGACGGCGGTTGTGGTGGTGGTGATGAGCTCTAGTTTAGTTCTGGATCGGGTTTGGTTCATGGGTTGGGTTGGATGTATGACATGGAGGGTCAGGTTTGACCATTTTTGGGTCATAACGAACTCCATTAACGGAGTTGGATGGAGACTAACAGAGAGTGACTAAGTCTGACCTGTTTTAGTAATTAGAGTGACCAAATTTGATATTAACTTTTTTAATGATTAAACATGACACAATTTAGTAATCACAGTGACCAAATGTGGCATTAACCGTTCTAGATTAGTGGTTTTAGTATGGATAATTTGTATGGGCAGATTGACGTTAGACTTTTATTTTGACGTGAACTTGTTATTGTGCATCTTTTAACATAAAATAAATGAGTATCCATGAACCCGCGGATACCTAGCGGGTTGGGTTTGAAAGTCCCAAACCCATTGGGTTTTACCATGAGTTTTTTTATGGATAAACCCATAGATTTGGATTCGAATTTGGCAAAATCCAAATCAACCCGACTCGACCCGACCCATTGACATCCCTAAAGCCTAGTCGAAATACAACGTGAAAGATTTGAACACGACCCTCTTGTTCGATCCTTAGTAGCATCCATATTTCCATCATGTCATTTGTAGAGTTTGATTACTACTGAAGTGAGTTGTTGCTATGCATCCAAGTTGATCTTCTTCACAACAAATGGCCGAGCTATAAACAAACAATGTTGAGCCACTTCAATTTTGAGCATCCGATGATCTCATCCCTTTTACCAAGAGCAGAGAGATCGTAAAATCATGAATGTGGCTATTTACTTTAGGCCCATCGTGATCGAGATATCCACCTCAATCACCGGCATGACCTATATGTTGAATGGCGACATCTATGATCTCGAGCTAACGCCGGTGAAGCTATATAAAG